GAAATGTTTATCACATTGTTTTTAATATTGAGTAACAGAAATAGATTATGAAATCATGACATTGATGACAGCATGACAGTTATAAATGTGAGGATCTTTGCTAACATTGACGATTATTGTACTTGTGAATTTAAATTAAATTGAGTACACGTATAATGAATGTATCTAGTATTATACTTTAATAATGGTCCCCATAGTTTTGTGGACAATAAGCCATTTACACTTATTCTTTGTTGTGATATGTGCGCTGATGTTATCTCCTCTTCTACAACTATGTGCGTGTTCGTGGTGCCATCGATGTTATCCTTCTATCTGGTCGTAAGACTCCTTTCCTCCTCCCTTACACTGGATTAATTGATTAGTGCTGCCGGGCATGTCAACCATAATTGTAGTGCATGTTTTTCACAGAAGGTGGCGGTGATCTTCCCCCGCTGGATGCTAACATCCGGCGCCGATCTTCCCGGTGGCTTGCGGGGTATTTCCCCAAACAGATATCTCCCACCAGAGAGGCATCGCCCCCGACGGCACATGTTCTAAACATCTGACTGGTCTCCGGGCATGTGCACTAGTGTAGTGCATGTAAGTGTGTGTAAGTAAAGCGTTAGGATAGAACAAGAAAGAGGAAGGAAAGATCGCACACTGCCCGTGGCTCACTCGTGGTCCGACATTTGACTGGTGTTGATGAGAAAAACGTCAGAAAACCAATTAGAGCATCCGTTCGCAAGAATTCTCTTCCAGACAGCGGCTGAATTCGACCTAGCTGACTAGTTAGTGTTGAAAATCCTGCTATCGCCGGGACTTGTACCCTAGGACCTGATCAGAGGCACTGCAGTGACACCAGTTGATGACCTTAGCCACCAAAGCCGGTCCTCCCACTGAATCTAGGCAGAACAAGTAGAAAAAAACAATCATAAGTAGCATAGTTGTTTTCTTTGTAGTAACATTCTCAGAGCAAATAAGTATTCTTTTCCTCGTGACTTTATGTTCGGTTTCTTGGATGAAGCTTCAAATACTTTGTTTCTCCGTTGTCTGCTTGGCAAATTTGTTAGAGGACCAAATATATTTCTGAGAAAGAAGATAGTATTCTGATTAGATAAAGTTTGCAGACATTTGCAGACGTACACAGATTCCGCACAAAACATACTCGGAAAACACTCAAACAAAACTCAAATACATATGAACACAGGGATAAACATGTGGCTGTTACAATAGCTGTAATAGTGGTACAGAGAACACTGAAAGAGCAGTGGGGGCTTTAGAATGAAGGAAAGGTGGCTGAGGGACATGTGCTTTTGCCAAGCCGAGAACGTCAAGGCGAAAGTTTGTGACGAATGACGCGTGTAAAACGATACATTACATCAAGTACGATAACCGCAGGATAGCCAAGTTCTCGGACTTAATAATAAATAAACCACACAATTAATAATTTTCACTGATCCTTTTAATTTGAATGAGTTTTCGAGTTTGGGAACTTTTTCATAACGTACCATGTCACTCGCAAAAATACTTTCCCTGACGTTGCAAAAACAATCAACATTTAATTTACAAGACATTTATTACTGAAATATCCGATGCAGATAAAGTGTGAAGTATATCAACGAACACACGTTTGACTACTCATCATTTTCCAACCATTTGCACATTTCGTGAGAAAGGATTGTGAGGGGTGATTTTCTCTCCCTGCTTGGAAACGAAAACCTCTCGAATTTTGCGCAACGCTTCGACCGCACTGCCGCCCTCCACCCTCCGCCCTTCCCGGCCCTCCGCCATGTTTCTCATTGGGCAGCTCTCTTCTGTTCCGCTGCCTTCGCAAAATCACGAATGTGTCTCCACCCACGCCGCGACCGCGAAGCGTGTTCACGCCTCGATCTCTCCCTTCTTCCTGCACTCACACTCTCCCTCGTTCTCTCTCTCTCTCTCTCTCTCTCTCTCACCCCACTCCTCTCGCCCCTTCGCGCGTGGCGCGGCCGCCCCCGCCCTTGCGCCTTGTCTCTCGCGCCCTCCCCCCACGCTCTCGTGCCGCCGCCGTCGCGCCCGCTGGCGCTTTCCTTTTTGGCCGCAGTTCGGCGAGTTCAGCGCATCCTGTCACGCCCCCGGCCCCGCCTTCGCGCCGCATCCACCCCCGCTGACGATGAAGCACCGACACCCTATTCGCAGTGCGGAATTTTCCGCATCCACCTACAACAGGGGCTCCCAACGGGGTCGGTATCTACCCTCTGGCGGCGATGATGTCTTAAAGGGGGTCCATGATGACCAAGTGGTCGTTGGGGGTTGGTCGTCTGTGAATATGCACTAGTTACTAATCGACAAGATCCCACAGATGTATAGTTATGCCGATATCTTTCGGAAATAATGCTACAAAACATCTAAAATAATTAAAAATGTATCTTTCCTCTTTTGGAAATATACATTATTCACATTAATAAAAATCAAACGATTGAGAAATAAAAAAAAAATTGCGTTTCATTCTGGAAATTTATGTTTATTTGTCAAATTAAAAATAATAATACAAAAATAAAAGATCAGAAATCTAATACATAATTGGCTTTAAAATGTTCGTTCAAATACCTTGTCAAATTGCTAGGAATAAGTTATTTATGTGCAATTATTCGTGTTTTAGTTGTGTTGTATGCAGTATATTACAAAGAAAATGTAAAAGGCCCATGAAGCATACAACTCTTTTAAAACAGGACAATCGAAAGAAAACTGTGGGACCTTCTGTGCTACAAAAACAACCAGGATTACCTCAATTCTTGAAAATAATCAATTGTAAGAATAAATTTAAACTTTTGAAATGTTTATTAAAAACCACATGCGCACGTGACTTATCTACTTATATGCAAAAGCGTATAGTGTGTAAGTAATTTACAACAACTAGTGTTAATACAAGTCAATATAATAGGAGTTTACTAGCATATATATATATATATATATATATATATATATATATATATATATATATATATACGAGTTTTTTTTACTCAGAAGATTTATGTGCTGTTTATTTTGTTGTAACTTCACTACACGGCGCGACAAAACATTATTGCGCTTCATTGTTTTTAAATTTCTGTTCAAAGTCCCTACTCTTCAGGGAGAGACGGAGGAAGGGAGGGACAGGGACTGAGAGACGGAGCCAGAAAGAGAGAGCGACAGACGGGCAGAGACAGGCAGACACAGAGACAGAGTCAAACAGAGTGAGAGAGGGACAGAGAGACAGAGAGAGACGGAGAGAGAGACGCAGAGAGGGACGGAGAGAGATGGAGAGAGATATGGAGAGAGACGGAGAGAGAGAAAAGGAAACGGCGAGGGAGAGAGAAAGGGAGTGGGAAGATGAAAGAGGGAGATAAAGGGCTGAACAACGTCTGCCGGGTTCCGCTAGTACGTTTGTAAACGTAGAAGACAAACTTTTGATTTCTCAAGTATTGCTTCTATTTACGATATTAATATCTTCGGTGGCAAATACTCTTTTCGCAATTTATTACTTAAATATTTATTTTCTTTTTAAGAAGATTATTTTAGTTGATGAAACATTAACATGAGCGTTGATATATCATGAACATCAGTTATCGAAAATATCGATTTTTTTATTGAAAAATTGTATGTTGATAAAAGAAATATTTCGTCTTCTTACATTGAGTTTATAATTTTTGTAGATTTCATATTATTTATCTTACGGTTTTACACACAGTACATTCCTCTATTAAAATTATTTAATACGTGCATATTTTCATATGGATATTGTATACTCATATTGAACAGTTGATCGAATACAGTTTAACATAAGAAGAACGCAATTTTTGAACACAATATTTGACAGTGTGATGGAGATGCGTCTTAAGAATATCTTGATACACAAATCTAGAAAATAAACAGAAACGTCACTTTGAAAATAAGCTTTTTAATTGGTTTGAGCAACATCTAAAGAAAATTGAGAAGTCACTCAGTTCCTAGAACGTTCGGTGCGCTAACGCAAACATAGCTTGCTCGCAATAAAGCGTGAAATAGGCAATTCAAGCGATCCCCTTCCCCAGCGACAAAGGAAAATTCGGTCCGCCTAGATCACCGCCTCGCCCATTGCCTCGCACCACCACCAACCCCGCAGCCAATATTGCCACAATACCCACTGCGTCGCGTCCAACATTTTGCGCCATTGTTTGGGACACGGCAAGCGAGTGCCGAGAGCTATCGATGTTCTCAAGTTGGTTTTGTTAAGGAGAAAAATGGAGGCGTATTCTATAGCCGACTGCGCGCCTATTGTGCACGGACTCCTTGACCGCACCGGAGAGGCC